GAGCCGTACAAGATTAGTTAATCGTTACCAGTAAATAGTACGACTATCTAGAAACAGTGCAGTTTGTGTGTGAGCCGTACAAGGTTAGTTAATTGTTACCAGTAAATAGTACGACTATCTGGAAATAGTGCAGTTTGTGTGTGAGCCGTACAAGGTTAGTTAATTGTTACCAGTTAATAGTACGACTATCTGGAAACAGTGCAGTTTGTGTGTGAGCCGTACAAGGTTAGTTAATTGTTACCAGTTAATAGTACGACTATCTGGAAACAGTGCAGTTTGTGTGTAAGCCGTACAAGGTTAGTTAATTGTTACCAGTAAATATCAAATAACGGAGTAGTTCGCTGTTTATTAGTCTCATGATTGAAATACTGATATCTGGATATTATCCGGTTGGAAGAGACAAGGACAAGTGAAACAAGGAAGTTAGGAGTAAGGGCAAATTTTCGGCGTCAACGCCATCTTCAGGCTCAAATTATTTGTTATATAGTAGTGTTGAAAGTATTTAATACTTTCAACTTTTTATATACTTCATACTTTTTATATAGTAGTGTTGAAAGTATTTAATACTTTCAACACTACTATATAACAAATAATTTGAGCCTGAAGATGGCGTTGACGCCGAAAATTTGCCCTTACTCCTAACTTCCTTGTTTCACTTGTCCTTGTCTCTTCCAACCGGATAATATCCAGATATCAGTATTACCAGTAAATAGTACGACTATCTGGAAACAGTGCAGTTTGTGTGTGAGCCGTACAAGGTAAGTTAATTGTTACCAGTTAATAGTACGACTATCTGAAAACAGTGCAGTTTGTGTGTGAGCCGTACAAGGTTAGTTAATTGTTACCAGTTAATAGTACGACTATCTGGAAACAGTGCAGTTTGTGTGTGAGCCGTACAAGGTTAGTTAATCGTTACCAGTTAATAGTACGACTATCTGGAAACAGTGCAGTTTTTGTGTGAGCCGTACAAGGTTAGTTAATTGTTACCAGTAAATAGTACGACTATCTGGAAACAGTGCAGTTTGTGTGTGAGCCGTACAAGGTTAGTTAATTGTTACCAGTTAATAGTACGACTATCTGGAAACAGTGCAGTTTGTGTGTGAGCCGTACAAGGTTAGTTAATCGTTAACAGTAAATAGTACGACTACCTGGAAACAGTGCAGTTTGTTTGTGAGCCGTACAAGGTTAGTTAATTGTTACTAGTTAATAGTACGACTATCTGGAATCAGTGCAGTTTGTGTGTGAGCCGTACAAGGTTAGCTAATTGTTACCAGTAAATAGTACGACTATCTGGAAACAGTGCAGTTTGTGTGTGAGCCGTACAAGGTTAGTTAATTGTTACGAATAAATAGTACGACTATCTGGAAACAGTGCAGTTTGTGTGTGAGCCGTACAAGGTTAGTTAAATGTTACCAGTAAATAGTACGACTATCTGGAAACAGTGCAGTTTGTGTGTGAGCCGTACAAGGTTAGTTAATTGTTACCAGTTAATAGTACGACTATCTGGAAACAGTGCAGTTTGTGTGTGAGCCGTACAAGGTTAGTTAATTGTTACCAGTTAATAGTACGACTATCTGGAAACAGTGCAGTTTGTGTGTGAGCCGTACAAGGTTAGTTAATTGTTACCAGTAAATAGTACGACTATTTGGAAACAGTGCAGTTTGTGTGTGAGCCGTACAAGGTTAGTTAATTGTTACCAGTTAATAGTACGAATATCTGGAAACAGTGCAGTTTGTGTGTGAGCCGTACAAGGTTAGTTAATTGTTACTAGTAAATAGTACGACTATCTGAAAACAGTGCAGTTTGTGTGTGAGCCGTACAAGGTTAGTTAATTGTTACCAGTAAATAGTACGACTATCTGGAAACAGTGCAGTTTGTGTGTGAGCCGTACAAAGTCAGTTAATTGTTACCAGTTAATAGTACGACTATCTGGAAACAGTGCAGTTTGTGTGTGAGCCGTACAAGGTTAGTTAATTGTTACCAGTTAATAGTACGACTATCTGGAAACAGTGCAGTTTGTGTGTGAGCCGTACAAGATTAGTTAATCGTTACCAGTAAATAGTACGACTATCTAGAAACAGTGCAGTTTGTGTGTGAGCCGTACAAGGTTAGTTAATTGTTACCAGTAAATAGTACGACTATCTGGAAACAGTGCAGTTTGTGTGTGAGCCGTACAAGGTTAGTTAATTGTTACCAGTTAATAGTACGACTATCTGGAAACAGTGCAGTTTGTGTGTGAGCCGTACAAGGTTAGTTAATTGTTACCAGTTAATAGTACGACTATCTGGAAACAGTGCAGTTTGTGTGTGAGCCGTACAAGGTTAGTTAATTGTTACCAGTAAATAGTACGACTATCTGGAAACAGTGCAGTTTGTGTGTGAGCCGTACAAGGTAAGTTAATTGTTACCAGTTAATAGTACGACTATCTGGAAACAGTGCAGTTTCTGTGTGAGCCGTACAAGGTAAGTTAATTGTTACCAGTTAATAGTACGAATATCTGGAAACAGTGCAGTTTGTGTGTGAGCCGTACAAGGTTAGTTAATTGTTACTAGTTAATAGTACGACTATCTGAAAACAGTGCAGTTTGTGTGTGAGCCGTACAAGGTTAGTTAATTGTTACCAGTTAATAGTACGACTATCTGGAAACAGTGCAGTTTGTGTGTGAGCCGTACAAGGTTAGTTAATCGTTACCAGTTAATAGTACGACTATCTGGAAACAGTGCAGTTTTTGTGTGAGCCGTACAAGGTTAGTTAATTGTTACCAGTAAATAGTACGACTATCTGGAAACAGTGCAGTTTGTGTGTGAGCCGTACAAGGTTAGTTAATTGTTACCAGTTAATAGTACGACTATCTGGAAACAGTGCAGTTTGTGTGTGAGCCGTACAAGGTTAGTTAATCGTTACCAGTAAATAGTACGACTACCTGGAAACAGTGCAGTTTGTTTGTGAGCCGTACAAGGTTAGTTAATTGTTACTAGTTAATAGTACGACTATCTGGAATCAGTGCAGTTTGTGTGTGAGCCGTACAAGGTTAGCTAATTGTTACCAGTAAATAGTACGACTATCTGGAAACAGTGCAGTTTGTGTGTGAGCCGTACAAGGTTAGTTAATTGTTACGAGTAAATAGTACGACTATCTGGAAACAGTGCAGTTTGTGTGTGAGCCGTACAAGGTTAGTTAATTGTTACCAGTTAATAGTACGACTATCTGGAAACAGTGCAGTTTGTGTGTGAGCCGTACAAGGTTAGCTAATTGTTACCAGTAAATAGTACGACTATCTGGAAACAGTTCAGTTTGTGTGTGAGCCGTACAAGGTTAGTTAATTGTTACCAGTTAATAGTACGACTATCTGGAAACAGTGCAGTTTGTGTGTGAGCCGTACAAGGTTAGCTAATTGTTACCAGTAAATAGTACGACTATCTGGAAACAGTGCAGTTTGTGTGTGAGCCGTACAAGGTAAGTTAATTGTTACCAGTTAATAGTACGAATATCTGGAAACAGTGCAGTTTGTGTGTGAGCCGTACAAGGTTAGTTAATTGTTACTAGTTAATAGTACGACTATCTGAAAACAGTGCAGTTTGTGTGTGAGCCGTACAAGGTTAGTTAATTGTTACCAGTTAATAGTACGACTATCTGGAAACAGTGCAGTTTGTGTGTGAGCCGTACAAGGTTAGTTAATCGTTACCAGTTAATAGTACGACTATCTGGAAACAGTGCAGTTTTTGTGTGAGCCGTACAAGGTTAGTTAATTGTTACCAGTAAATAGTACGACTATCTGGAAACAGTGCAGTTTGTGTGTGAGCCGTACAAGGTTAGTTAATTGTTACCAGTTAATAGTACGACTATCTGGAAACAGTGCAGTTTGTGTGTGAGCCGTACAAGGTTAGTTAATCGTTACCAGTAAATAGTACGACTACCTGGAAACAGTGCAGTTTGTTTGTGAGCCGTACAAGGTTAGTTAATTGTTACTAGTTAATAGTACGACTATCTGGAATCAGTGCAGTTTGTGTGTGAGCCGTACAAGGTTAGCTAATTGTTACCAGTAAATAGTACGACTATCTGGAAACAGTGCAGTTTGTGTGTGAGCCGTACAAGGTTAGTTAATTGTTACGAGTAAATAGTACGACTATCTGGAAACAGTGCAGTTTGTGTGTGAGCCGTACAAGGTTAGTTAATTGTTACCAGTTAATAGTACGACTATCTGGAAACAGTGCAGTTTGTGTGTGAGCCGTACAAGGTTAGCTAATTGTTACCAGTAAATAGTACGACTATCTGGAAACAGTGCAGTTTGTGTGTGAGCCGTACAAGGTTAGTTAATTGTTACCAGTTAATAGTACGACTATCTGGAAACAGTGCAGTTTGTGTGTGAGCCGTACAAGGTTAGTTAATCGTTACCAGTAAATATTACGACTATCTGGAAACAGTGCAGTTTGTGTGTGAGCCGTACAAGGTTAGTTAATTGTTACCAGTAAATAGTACGACTATCTGGAAACAGTGCAGTTTGTGTGTGAGCCGTACAAGGTTAGTTAATTGTTACCAGTAAATAGTACGACTATCTGGAAACAGTGCAGTTTGTGTGTGAGCCGTACAAAGTTAGTTAATTGTTACCAGGACTCACTTCTCAGTTACACTTTGGTTTGTAGAATTAATTATCAAAAAACAAAGTTTTAAACAAGGGATAGTTAAAAACAACGCCCAAGTCTAAAAAACGCTGGTCCGTCAACGGGACCCCGCAAAACATGTCCTAACATTCTCCACCGACTACGGGCAACTTTTGTACAATATGGAATACAATTTTACTAAGTAAAACCAAATTAAACCTTCTTACTTTCTTAGATAAGATAAGAGTTTCCAGACCTGAATTATATCACGCTCTTTCCAATATTTGACACTTAGCAAATCAGAACCGTATGATCAAATATAAGTCTGACATGTCTAGGATAATAATGATATGACTAGCATAATTATGATGATTATCTCTCAACAAAACACTATTTCAGAACAAGCTTGTTTACAAGTGTGGAGATGATGGACTCTGGGAGGGTGACGTGGACAAAACATGTGCTTGTAAGATAATTATTTATATTCAGCTGATTAATTTCTTAATCTTAAATCTTAACTATTACTAATACATACGATTGTACGTTTATTTGGTTTTCTGTCTTAATTCCCAGCAGCACAATCAAATATTTCGAAAAAGGATTTTACCACTTATCAAGTTATCACCCGGAACATTTTTACGAGCACAAATAATTTCAGCCTGCAAAGAGAGGAGGAAAGAAGTGGTAACGTATGTCACTAAAGTAATACCAGGAAACTGTATTCTAGGAAGATGCACCGAGGAAACGTTAGTTTCAATTTGTTTCTTTTTGTTGCATTGTCGAACAAGCGGAGCCTTCTATACCTAAAAACTTGTTGTTTTATGTATTGTATTTGTATAAACGTGTAGCTCAAAATACAGCACAATTTAGAGTTCACAGACTTATGAACTACGTTCAGCATTCAGTTTCAGCAGGCACTTTACTTAGAGTAACCTTTTAAAAAAGAAGTACGTTTAAACCTGACCCAACTCATGCATTTCAGAACGGTTAAATTCCCAGTGACAACGTATGAAACGGAAGTAGTGTGCGATTAAACACTAACTATCAGACTTTTCACAACATCTTAGATTCAAAAATAAGATAGCCCGGACGATATCAATTATTAGAGACTGTTGCAATGTGCCAAGATTGATTGTAATAAAATAATGAACTGTGAAGAGCTGATGACTTAGAATCAGTTAAATAGTGATTTACTTTAGAAATTGATTATGATTTTTACTTTTATTTGCATTTATTTCACATACGTATAAAAATATTTTCATTTTACCGATTTCAGTTTATATACAATTTTCATTTAGCATTAATAATCAATTAATGACTGAAAATTCAATTGAACTAACTTGATCTGTTCGAAATTATTGATGATTTTATTTCCAAAGTCAACAATAGCACTGTTTCTGTTAAAATTCGATGCTGATAATTTCAATTTTCTATAATTTGGCGTTTTTTAGTCTTTGCATATGATACAACAACAAAAAAAGTTACAAGGATACAAAAATCATTATTAATATTATTATATTAGCGACAAGATAAACGCCATTCTCGGACGTGAAGAGAGTGAGGACATGACTTCCTCCTCAATTACAATATAATAGGCTTAATCCCTTTACTTTTTTATTTGAAAATTCAATTAATAATTATATTTATAAATCAAGCGTTACATTTCAGTTTCAGCCATGTAAAATTACCAAAATTAATGGAAAAATGGTACTGCATGCATGCAATATAAGTTGCATACTGTGTGGCCGGATGGCAACTATGAACTAACTATAAAATATAGTATTTATAAACTAAAAACTAAAAATGAATTTGAATATCAAATATAAAATAATTAATTCGGTTGAACCAACACCAAACACATAGCAAGATCGAGCCACATTGGATGATGATTGATGATTAATTACTCTACACTCGATCGACTGTCACGTGTTTTATAACACGTTCTCTTGATGGCCCTGAATGACTAATCGAAATCCTAGCCCTCTATATAATGATTATCTGATCCCAACACTAAAGCACTAACCCTAACCCAATCTTTAACAAAAGCATATGCTGAAACCCTAACCCTAACGAGAAATTAGACCAACTTCCTTATATGGTCATATCACGTGATCGAGTAAGTTTTTCGCCAATATCTCGCTAAAGGAGAATTTTAACCCTATTATATGCCATGGGGGCCGGGGTGATTCGGAATCACTCAATCAGCAATCAGTATTCAGCGTGCGAAAATACATCGATCCAAGTTGGTCTCAACTATCGGGGGCCCTACCGGCTATTTCTATAATATCTGTGCGTGTGTAATTTCCGGTCGGTTGTATTTTTAAAACGGTAAGAGTTACGTAACTAATTTTTCAGTAAAGACATAGTACCGACAAAACTCTGACGAAGCCCATAAGCAATTTTGTTTAAAAATTAGCCGGTGGTAAGTGGTTTAATTGATGGTTTTGGGTTGAGCAGCTTAATCAAGAAAACGGTAAGAGGAACGGGGCTCGCTTTTTTCCCATTGCTGCATATGTAGCTGCATAATTTCGGTAACAGTTTTAGGACTTAATAATTGAGTTTATTGCACGTGCGATGAATAATTTGTGTTTATAGAGATTTGCGGCGCGGCATCAGGTTAACCAATTAAATGAAATCACGGCGTTTTCGTCGCGTGGCACTGACAGGCTAGTAAAACGCGAATTTTATTGTTTAGGGCTCGGGTTAAGGTTGCCGTTATGGTTATGAATAGCTTTGGGGTTATGGTTAGGGTTTGCAGATTAGGATTTATGTAAAACAGTTTTGTTCAGGTGCAAAACCATGAACCATAAAGACGAAAGTCTCGTGATATTTTTTGGGCGAGCGAATAAGTAAAAGCCTTGCCCATCGTTAATGGTTAACTTACTTCGAAGAAATTTAGACGAATATCAGTAACATCCGTTAATTTATGTGGTTAAAGACTCTTTGATAATCTGTCTTAAATACAAAATGCGTGCCTGACCCATTTTTTCATGAGGTAAATTCATTTTTGGTTTGACTAATCACAATGCTGGCAAGCATAACCGTTGCCCTTATATTCACAACACTATGTACCCCCTATACTATTATATCCCCTTTATTGTTTTCCAGGCATTAAGACTCATCGAAAGTAGTTCAGCAGGTATATTTAAGTTCAAAACATTCTAATTCAATGTTAAAGATGACAGGAATAAGAAATAGTTATGTGGAGGTTTTTAAGAAATTTGCGCAAAATACGCGCCAGCATGTTATACGAAATTAGGTAAAAAACCCAAAATCGCCATATTCAGGTGCCTTAAAAACCATGTTAAAATCGAGTTAGAGATCTGAAACTTTGCAGAGCGTCTAGACCTTGTCCAAATCGACTGTAAAAAAAATTTCATGTTGCAGGAATATCGGGAAGTGGGTTTTCTGGAACCCCTGTTTTACAACAGATTGTCGTGAAGCTATATATGTATATATATATGTATATATGTATAGACGCTTTTGCAGTAAATTGTACCCTACATTTAAGTGTCCGTAGATTCAAAAGTATAAAAGATACAGTCATTTCGAACCACAGGTTTTAAAGATAATTGTTTAAACTTTAGTTTACATTATATCGAAAAATAATTTATCGTCATCATCATCACTCGATGACGTCATCAATTTAAGTGTTTTTAAAACTTGATTTTTGACAAAATAACAACTTTTCAAATCGATTTTAAAGCATTAAGGAGTAATTTTATTCAAAATCTGAGGACATTTTCATCTTAGATAATTGTTCAAGCATTCTGAAAATCTACCGGAAAGTTTTCCTACCTTGCTCCTTCATAAAGATATTCGCTATTGAAGTTTGTGCTTTTTTGAAGAATAATTTTATAAAAACACAAAAGTTGTGAATTAGTATTCTCTGGTGTTGGGCCATCCCTTGGGTTGTGGAGCTCAATTTTGCTTCCTAAAGGTCTAAATTGTGTTATAGGTTAGTTTTAAAGTTGAAAATCGAAAAGTTGCACACGTGGGGACACGCCCAAATTCATTTAAAATAGCTAAAATCACTAAAAATTTTGATTTTCACGATTTTTATCAACTTTGGAGTCCCGTTGTGATCCAAGTTCTTTTTGAAATCTTCTGAAACTTTTCATGCTTATCAAACTATATATTAAATAACACTATGCAAAAATTTATGGTGATTCAATATTTCATGCGCACGCAACGTCCGCTCAAAGTTTGCACGTGCGAAAGGTGAGAATTTTGCTCATTCGTGATTTCGAATATATTCTGCTTTCCCACGATATTAAAATGGCATTATATATGAATTTAATGCCAACTTGAATGAGTAAAAAGTGCTATATTCAGTCTGTTATTGACAGATATGCCTACCTAAACACAAGGAAACGTTTTCAAAGGTAAAATTTCGAAATCGTTGAAATTACCTCCTTATTAAGTTTCGACTGTGTAAATTATCCTGACATTATAATCAAAAAGAGATGATATTTGACCAAAACCCATAATCATGGGTAGAGTGAACCGCTGCCAGTGTCTCTCTTTCCAAACAAAAGAAAATGATATTAATTTGAGGAACCGTCCGCAAATGCAAATTGATACCGAGAATGAAATCGGTCGCTCGCTTTTCCCATTCATTCACGGCTTACGTATTGTAATAAAGCTTATTGAATGGGAAAAGCGAGCGACCGATTTCATTCTCGGTATCAATTTGCATTTGCGGACGGTTCCTCAAATTAATATCATTTTCTTTTGTTTGGAAAGAGAGACACTGGCAGCGGTTCACTCTACCCATGATTATGGGTTTTGGTCAAATAATGACAAAAGTAAAATGTTAGAGATAAGTTAAAAATAAAAGTAGAACAGTGCAAAACATTATTGCAATTAATTTAAAACTAAGTTGCAAAACTCCCAAAAATATGAAAACAGAAATGTCTCACAAAAATCAGCACGAACAGCACGTGATGCTATTTATATTTTAAATAAAGCATATAAATACTTTTTTAACAATACAATATCATTCGCCCAAAACGTTTTAGTTTCTAAAGTAATTAACTAAACCTTTGGGCTTTGAGAAAGTTATCAAATGTTTAAATCCAAAATTTTGCACCAACATAAAATTACAAATTATTTCTTTCAAGTCAGTGCAATATAGCAGTATTCATAAATAAAATTTCCCACAGTCCATTTATCCTCGCCAACAAATTAGAAGCTCTATAGTTTTTATTTCTGATCTGCGGTTGATTTGATAAATTTATGATCTCACTTGTGACTTGATCATTTAACGTTCGTGGCTTTGCATTTGGCGCCCCCCTAAGACAGCGCCCCCCTGCACAGCGGGGTCAGCAGGGCCTTTCGTTACGCCACTGATTCCCCCTCCACATTGTTTAGATAAAGGAAAATCGATCTGAAAATGTGAAATAGTGAAGAGTTTAAGTTTTACGAGAAAAATTTGCAACATTTGTGAATTAAACTTTATAACAATGTCATTTTTATTACACTTGGACTATACCTATAGAACGACGAATAAAAACCATGTACCTTTAAAATAGAGCAGTAAAATTTTAGATTTAGGTGAAACTTTGATTTACCACCGTACGTTGTAGATCCATCTGAAAATAAAGAAAAGTCGTTGATAGTTTGCAAATACATCCTATTTTGTTATTCTTTCCAATTTTAGCCCATCATGCATTTGATTTGTTGAGCCAATTCTATTCCAATTAAATTCAAACTATGAGTTGTTTCAAAACTGTTACCAACAAACCTGAATATTATATTAGTGTATACTTATAGTTAGAAGGTTAAAGGAGGAAGGTTGGACATCCCTTGGAAAGACTGGAGACACCCCGGTTTGCAGTTTATTCTGAAATTTATAAAAAACCATGTGAGTGTTATTTCTTTACCCTTTTCACATTTGAACATGTAAAATAGTGAAGAGTTTTAAGAGAAAAATTTGAAACTTGCGAATTATAACTTTATAACAATGAAATTTTTGTTACACTTTGACTTGGACTATAGAACGACGAAGAAAAACCATGTACCTTTATAATAGAGCAGTAAAATGTTGGATTTAGGAGACACTTTGCTATACCACGTAGGTCGTAGATCCTCATCCATCTGAAGATAAAGAAAAGTCTAAATCGTTGATAGTTTGCAAATACATTCTATTTTTTATTCTTTCCGATTGTGTTTGATTTGTTGAGCCCATTCTATTCCAATTGAATTCAAACTATAAGTTGTTTCAAAACTGATAGCCAACAAACCTGAACAGTATATTGGTGTAGAGTTAGAAGGTTAAAGGACAAAGTTAGCACTAGTATGAGCGAGCGGACATCATTTGGAAAGATTGGAGACACCCCAGTTTGCAGTTTAGTTCTGCAATTTATGAAAAACCATGTGAGCATTATTTCTTTACCCTTTTCACATTTGAACATGTAAAATAGTGAAGAGTTTTACGAGAAAAATTTGCAACATTTATGAATTGAACTTTATAACAATGTAATTTTTATTACACTTTGACTTGAACTATAGAACGACGAATAAAACCATGTACCTTTATAATAGAGCAGTAAAATGTTGGATTTAGGAAACACTTTGCTATACCACGTAGGTCGTAGATCTATCTGAAAATAAAGAAAAGTAGTTGAATTAGTTTGCAAATACATCCTATTTTATTATATTTTCCAATTTTAGCACATCATGATTTGTTGAGCCCATTCTATTCGCGTTATTTTGATTGAATTAATAACGCTCGAATTTTTGATTTGTATTTAAACCACTCTACGGTCACGTTGATAATCATAAACAGTTTGTTTCTCTTTAAATACGAAATTTAAAAAATTGTTTAAAAAAACTACCTACTCACAAACCCGAATATCAGTATACACCCCAGATTTGATCTGAAATGTACAAAAACCGTGAGAGCGTTATTTTTGTTGGATCAAATAGCTACATTTGATAATTATTTTCAAATCGTGCAGCGAAAAGACTGACAAACACCTTGTTTCCAATTTAATTCAAACTATAAGTTGTTTGAAAACTGTTACCAACAAACCTGAATATTAGTGTAGAGTTAAAAGGTTAAAGGACAAAGGTAGCACTAGTATGAGCGAGCGGACATCATTTGGAAAGATTGGAGACACCCCGGTTTGCAGTTTAGTTCTGCAATTTATGAAAAACCATGTGAGCATTATTTCTTTACCCTTTTCACATTTGAACATGTAAAATAGTGAAGAGTTTTACGAGAAAAATTTGCAACATTTATGAATTGAACTTTATAACAATGTAATTTTTATTACACTTTGACTTGGACTATAGAACGACGAATAAAAACCATGTACCTTTATAATAGAGCAGTAAAATGTTGGATTTAGGAAACACTTTGCTATACCACGTAGGTCGTAGATCTATCTGAAAATAAAGAAAAGTAGTTGAATTAGTTTGCAAATACATCCTATTTTGTTATATTTTCCAATTTTAGCACATCATGATTTGTTGAGCCCATTCTATTCGCGTTATTTTGATTGAATTAATAACGCTCGAATTTTTGATTTGTATTTAAACCACTCTACGGTCACGTTGATAATCATAAACAGTTTGTTTCTCTTTAAATACGAAATTTAAAAAATCGTTTAAAAAAACTACCTACTCACAAACCCGAATATCAGTATACACCCCAGATTTGATCTGAAATGTACAAAAACCGTGAGAGCGTTATTTTTGTTGGATCAAATAGCTACATTTGATAATTATTTTCAAATCGTGCAGCGAAAAGACTGACAAACACCTTGTTTCCAATTTAATTCAAACTATAAGTTGTTTGAAAACTGTTACCAACAAACCTGAATATTAGTGTAGAGTTAAAAGGTTAAAGGACAAAGGTAGCACTAGTATGAGCGAGCGGACATCAGTTGGAAAGACTGGAGACACCCCGGTTTGCAGTTTAGTTCTGAAATTCATGATGATGAAAAACCATGTGAGCGTTATTTCTTTACCCTTTTCACATTTGAAAAAGTGAAATAGTGAAGAGTTTTACGAGAAAAATTTGCAACTTGTGAATTATAATTTTATAATAATGTAATTTTTATTACACTTGAACAGGTTCCCAGTTCCCACATTCCACTCGGTTCAGTGCTAACTGCATCTTACTGCGTCTTAGCTGATACTGTCAACATGAAATCGTGCAAGAAATCGTATTTATCATATTAAGTCATATCGCACTTGGTGGCGATTTGAGTAACTACTCTGTGTTCCATCACGATACAACACGATGTACATGCATACAAAGCCCTAATTTTAAAGATGAGACAATTTACAGGTTGTTTTCGATGCATATTTACCGGGTTTTTTCTGTATCGTGCACTTTTCTTCCCCCCCCCCCCCACCCCCTACAGGCCCGGTATAACTATATAGAGGTTTCACTGTATTTTAAATTTATAAGTTTAAGAAGGAAAATGATGTAAATGTAATGAAATATGTATTTTACTTACATGTGCTGTTTCGAGGTTGAATTTAAGAAGTCCACCAGCAGTTATCTGTGTCGTAAATCCATCTCAATAAAGCCTTTAGATGATTTTGGAAAGACAGAGGGAAATTTTGCTGATGAAATGATTTCTGCTTCATTGTTATTGCTTTGAGAAGACTGATACAGTCTATAAATTGATATTTGCTCAGCAAATAGTTTAAGATACACAGTTTTTATGGCTCTGGTAAGCCGAGGATGAATTAAATGGACAAAACGGTAATTCATCAGACTGGTGTGGTCGAGTGAGGGTGGTCGACTGATGTGGTTGACGTAGCTAAAGGTGTGTACGGAGTTTCTTTACTTTCTTTACTTTCTTTACTTTTGTTGGACATCTTGACAAACAGACAGAGTCCAGCAACAAGGACGATATGAAGAAAAATTGCCAGACCCATGACCAGAAGTTCCACTGACCCTCTTTTCTTACTAACAATGAAGGTCCCCATAATACTGATGACAACAGCGAGAAGGAGCTTTTTTGTTTCTTTTCTTAGTGACGAAGATCTTCCTTTTAATGGATGGAAAAGGTCTGAAACCATGACTATTGCTGATACCGAGAGCACTAAAGGAATTATACAAAACCAGCCCAAATATTTGAAATAGTTGAAATGCTTACCGCACGGATATCTTTGTTCGATGATCAAAGCAGCGACCAAACCCTCGCAGATAAATGGGATTGCACGGACAGCTAGATTTTTCCTCTTTCTCAATGACTTGTAAGAAACGTCTGAGGGTTTTGAGAGGTAAGCATCAGGGTTTCTTATCGATATTAGAAACACATCTCTGATACTAAACAGGATCATTCGCCATAAGATTGAAAGAATTTTTCGCCATAGCTTCAAAAGGGAAAGTTCCGCTAACTTCGCTTTGAGGCTATAAAGGTTTACCAAGAGTTCCACTATCACTCTGAGGATGATGAACCCAAACACATACTCCTTTATAAACAAAGCATGCATTACTGCTGCAAACATGAACAACCTGGCTGGTATCATCAATGTATAGGATGCTTGGAAAATGATCTTTAAAATAGTGGACATTTTAGGAGTCAGCGAGTCCAATTTCCTAAAGCCATCTTCCAAAGAGGCAATTCCCGAGGGAATGTTGTAAAATGGAATTGCCATTGAGAATATACGAAACACAGTGCCACATATTCCTAATCCTGTATCAGATAGTGGGAGCATTTCACAAAATGAGTTGGTGTCGTTGGTGCTGTTTGTATTCATACGTTGATAATCGAAATAGTGGTAACATTCACCGGCAAACTGTTCAATATCTTTTTGGGAAAGGTTGTTGATCACTATTTGAAATGTATAGAACTGAACCAGAAAGTTCCGGTAATTGTTCCAAAATCAGGTAAAACTGTTTCAAGCTATTCTGTTCTGCTTGACGTCTGTAATACTCACGCAAGCTTATTGGTTCGTGTAGGAATACTACCAACCTATCCACGACTGGCCTTAATTGGAAACATGTCAGTAAGTTGTAGAATATCGCTCTAAGCTTACTCAGAAAACTTCCCTGTAGCTTGAACGGACAAGATAGCTTGTAAAAGAACATATTAAACTTATTCTTGCTCCAGTTTAAGTTTGATTCGCTCCATTCTTTGGCAGTTAACAAGAATCTCCCAAACTTTATCCTCAGAACATCTTCCTCCGTTGTGTATACACTTTCAGCAGATCTGAAGTTCTCGTGAATTAAAGTGAACAATACCAGAGCAATCTCAAAGAACCCTAGCTTTTTTGGAAAATCCGTTGAAATCTGAAATGCCAACTACTACATCAGTGTACAAGTCTAAAATGTAGAAGAAAATTCCTAGGAGACAAAAGAATCTCCCCATCATTCCTATTGCAGAACAGCTGTGGCATAATGAACAGGTAACGTTTCGGCAACAACACTTCAGACCACAAGTTATTCTCATACAACACGACTTCATTTGTTGAAATGAGGGTTTAAGGTAATCTTGCGTGTTTCTCCATGCTTTGCTGCAATATTCCTTAACTTTACAACTGAATCCTTTTTTATCCTTCATGTATTCCGCGTAAATCTTTTGTGCAATTACATTAAGTTCTTTTGGTGGTTCTCTCCCCTCAACTACGTCATTTGTCAAATCTTCAATTTTACTCCGAAATTTCATATAGATATCGGGGCTGAGTCTACTCTCAAGCATTCCTCTTTTGGGAAGATTACATGGAGTTTTTGCTTGAAGAGCAATGTATATGGTTTGTAGAAGAGACGTCTCTCCTGACCCGCCTGACCGTTTCAAAAATTCTTCAACGAGGCGTACATACAGATCTCCCCTATAAAACGTAAATCTCTGCTCAGGATCATCCATAATATCTGGCAATTTGTCGATCGCTTCTTTCAGAATATTACTTAAGATGCTCTTGACATCATTATCAAACTCTTCCCTTATATCTAATTCCTGAACGATAATAGCAGGATTAGAATATTTTAAGCTATTTGCAAAAGCACGGAATGTATCTTGTAAGTCATTTTTGGACCATTTCTTCTGCATGTTATGAAGACATGACTCATTATCTTTATCTGTAGTACTGATATCTGCTCTGTGTTCTAACAGCACTTTAGCTACCTCTACACTGCTAGTACGTGCAGCATAATGTAACGGTGTGCTCCCATTACTGCTCTTAATGTTCACATCAGCTCCGTGTTCTAACAGCACTTTAGCTACCTCTACACTGCTAGTACGTGCAGCATAATGTAACGGTGTGCTCCCATAACTGTTCTTAATGTTCACATCAGCACCGTGTTCTAACAGCACTTTAGCTACCTCTACACTGTTATCACGTACAGCTACATGTAACGGTGTGCTCCCATTACTGGTCTTAGTGTTCACATCAGCTCCGTGTTGTAACAGCACTTTAGCTACCTCTACACTGTTATCACGTACAGCTACATGTAACGGTGTTAACCCATCAATGTTCTTAGTGTTCACCTCCGCTCCATGTTGTAACAACAATTTAGCTACCTCTACACTGTTATCACGTACAGCTACATGTAACGGTGTGCTCCCATCAATGTTCTCATTGTTCACCTCCGCTCCGTGTTGTAACAGCAATTTAGCTACACCTACACTGTTATTATGTGCAGCTACATGTAACGGTGTGCTCCCATCAATGTTCTTAGTGTTCACCTCCGCTCCATGTTGTAACAGCAATTTAGCTACATATACACTTTTATTATGTGCAGCTACATGTAACGGTGTGCTCCCATTACTGTTCTTAATGTTCACCTCCACACCGTGTTCTAACAACAATTTAGCTGCCTCTACACTGTTACTACTTACAGCTAAATGTAACGGTGTGCTCCCATTACTGTTCTCATTGTTCACATCAGCTCCATGTTGTAACAGCAATTTAACTAACTCTACACTGTTCTTACTTGCAGCTACATGTAACGGTGTGCTCCCATCAATGTTCTCATTGTTCACCTCCGCTCCATGTTGTAACAGCACTTTAGCTACACCTACACTGTTATTATGTGCAGCTAAATGTAACGGTGTGCTCCCATTACTGTTCTTAGTGTTCACATCAGCTCCATGTTGTAACAGCAATTTAACTAACTCTACACTGTTCTTACTTGCAGCTACATGTAACGGTGTGCTCCCATCAATGTTCTCATTGTTCACCTCCGCTCCATGTTGTAACAGCACTTTAGCTACCTCTACACTGTTACTAAGTGCAGCATAATGTAACGGTGTGCTCCCATTACTGTTCTTAGTGTTCACCTCCGCTCCCTGTTGTAACAGCAATTTAACTACCTCTACACTGTTCTTACTTGCAGCATAATGTAACGGTGTGCTCCCATACTTGTCCTTAGTGTTCACCTCCGCTCCTTGTTGTATAAGATAACCTGCAATCTCTTGTTTATCTTTTTCTGCTGTTTCATGAAGTACTGTACTCTTGTAATTTCCACCTTTAGCATTGTAGTCCAAGTTGTTTACAGTGTAAACATCCAACAATTCTGTCAAGTTTCCTTCTTTTACTTTTTCTTGTATAGTTCTCCATTTCGGGTCACTGATTACGCTTGCCATGTCTGACACTGGAAAGGAAAATACATAAACAATGTTTAAGGATCATAATTAGAATTATTAAATAGTTTTTATCGATCAAAAGTTTCAAATTTTTGCGACAAAATCCTTGATTGAATAGTTACGACAGTATGCCATCTGCAAAGTTACAGGTGTCTAAAGTGAAAAATGGCTAAGTATTAAGTAATGAGCCCAAACGTTTTCACACAGATTCCTTTCTTGCGAATAAGAATGGACCCTTGACCTCATAATATTGTTGTCGTTTCGAAACTCAGAAATCTAGTATATTCTCGGCTCATATGGGCCACTTCGGCCAGCCCCAGAACTTTCCGCGTGCCCCAGGGATTCTTATATTAATTCTAACTCTAAACTGGCACGACTTTGTCATGCCCCTGTTGATTTAGACTGCTTCATGATGTTCTGGGTAGAATGTTCTGGAATACAACATGACCGAGGGAATGCCGACGGCTATCAATTCATTTTAATTCTTGGTGTTCAAATTCAATCTCTTAATTAGTTAATTAACAGAAAATCATTATTATAATTCAAAATAATTCAAAAATTTTTGTATATCTATGTATACGACCGCCCACGTACAAATTAGATGAGAAATATGAAATTAGGTGAAACCCAAAAGGTTGCATAGCAACCGGCAACGGTGTTGAAATGCACGCGTTCACGTGCTAAGATTGTTGGAACGGCATTTTGATTGTCTTGTGGAAATTAAAAGAATTTCACATTTAAATTGGCTGTATCTTTGGTTGGAATGAATATTTTTTGATGCGATTAAAAATTTCTTTCAAAGAACACTATTAGCTTCATCCCTGTTATTACAGAATTTCTAGTCTTACTTATAATTCAAACAATTATGTTTGTATGTCTGTAGGTACGACCGCCCACGTGCATTTGCACGTCCTGCAAATTAGATGAAAATAGGACGTTTCATAATAACCATGGTAACGGTGTTGAACGCCCATGTGCAAGCGCCATTTTGATCACGTGCGATCGCCATTTTTAACGCGGTTACATTTTCATCAGCTAGTACATACAGATCCGTCCTAAAAAATCATTCTACCGAGACAAATGAATGAGACAAATAAATGATTTTTTCGTAGTCTTTAAAGACTACGGATTAATTAATTAATCAAAATTCCAACAGCTTCTGTTTCCTTCATTGTGCTGATTCCGGGAAGCACTCTACTTACGCTCTCATCATACTGATGAATGAGATATCGTTCATTTAAAATTGGGTAATTATAGGACTGTCAAGGTGAAGGATTGCAACCCAGTTAATCACTAACAATTAAATAACTAGGTTAATTAGCATGGAGGGGGATTATTTAAAACATATAACTATATAAGTGATACAAAAATATTGTATTAGCAGGAGCTTTCAAAATACGTCTTCAGCTCGTTAATTAGTTATATGGTAACTAATCTATATTATATCTCAAATTCTACATCTGGTACGGCTCTGCACACATGATATCTCTCTCTGCCATGAAACATGGCTAACCTTTCAAACTATGATTTAAAACATAAACCTAAACTAAAACTCAACTGGGCTCTCCTATGTCACCAAACTAGACCAATAAGCAATTTTAGCTTAGATAATTATATTTTTCTATATTTGTATAATAAGTATTATATTGGCGTAGTGGATGGTTGAGGGGGTTTCAAGCACAGGTCACTCTCAAATCCTAAAGATAAGCAGTGGCCTTCGGCACTTGAAACCTCTTCAAACCTCCCCTGATTTATTTATTATTGATATTGTTTGATTGTGCCGTAAAAATAAATATTTGTTTTATTAATATTTGTTTTATTAAGTTGTCATAGTTGGAAAATATTTCACATAACTTCATGCCTTGATTGAGGCATGAAATTTTGTAAGACAAATTTTACGTCGGATGATCAGTTAGTTGGATAATTACCAATTAGCTAATTATCAATTAACACTGGACAGAATATTTTGAAGCCATGATGATCACCTCGGGATTAGTGTACGTGGTACGGATCGAATAGCATTGAAAAGAGGGAGTTCACATTTTAGACTTCCAGGTCTTCTCTTGTCATTTGGGGTAATACAATCCCACTGGTTCGATCAGAAATGCCAGACAGACCCTTTCCTTGAAGACCTCATCATATGGTCTGACGAGGCCCATTGTGAACTGAATGGAACCATCAGCAGCCACAATGCGGTACACTGGGGGACAGAACAGCCTGCAGAAGTACATCAGCGTCCCCTTCATTCTCCAAAGGTCACCATATGGATTGGAATCTGCTCGCACCGCTTCTTTGGACCATACTTCTTCGACCAGAATGGGCAGACTGTTACTGTAAATGGAGAACGTTACTCAAGAGTCCTCTACCACAAGTTTTACCCCGACCTAATGGAAAGATGGAATACACCTTAAACAATCCAGAACTTATTCACATCTTCCCATTGCCTGGAGACTCCAAGACTCACAACTGGTGGTTCCAGCAAGACGGTGCTCTTCCTCATCTTCCTGCCAGATAGTGGATATCTTCTAATTTAATAACAGAACCATCGGCGAAGGACAAGCTGAACCTTGGCCACCATTGAAGACTGTTCCGGTGGAGTTCCTCGCTAGGGCGTGCCGATCAGTAAAACGGCGCTACAAATTGGTAAAGGAGAACGGTGGTCATATTGAGAATTATCTGTAGATTTATTGTTGTTTATTATTGTGTGCATATTTTAAATTAAGTTATCCTTTTGCAACAGTTTGGTTCACTATTCATTTGTCGCCAAAATTCTCTCACGCTAAAAGCACGTGATATCAGATTTTGCCCCTGGGAATATTGAAGGTAGCACAATTAAGGTGTCGTGTCACATAATCAACCAATCAATCAAGCAAAATTTAATAATATACTGTTTCTGAAAAACTTAGGCGTTCAGCATGTTCCGAGACAACAATATGGATGTTTTAATATTGAATGGACGTGGTCTAAAATAATGGAATCTCCAAATCAGACGAAAGTTAAAAGCTTTTGACTTTGAGTTGTGGAGTTATTTGAAAAATTCCGGTCCTCGATAAATTGCAGTGACCTCGATCTGCTTTATATAATAACTAGTGTAACCCGGCCTACGGCCGGGATTTCACTGCCGCAGTTAAAAAGGGTAGGAGTAATTACCCGCTGAGTCAAAACCCGCATTAGGTGACCCAATAGTTTCTTAAACAATAATCTCATAATCAGTTATTTCTTGTGGATAATTAAATCATTATTAGCCATGAGGCACCACATTCCATGATCATAACACACATAACCCCGGCATGCGCAGGGATTATATTTCAATTCTTCCCGCGACGCGCGGGAAAAATTTATAATAATTTCGAGTGCGAAGCACGAGGGATTATTATGAAAATAACCCCGACGTGCTTTAGCACGAGGGGTTATTTTAATATAACTTAAGCGTGCCGGTGTTATGTGTTATAAACCCCTCCGGGTTAGTGCTAGGACCAACAAATTTGACATTTTACTCTTAATTCTAGCTATATGAGATCATTATGGAAAATATGAAATGGAATTGGGGACTTCCAAATAAATACAACTAAGGTACTATGACTTTTGAAATTGGCGTTATATCTAAACACTATTCCTCAGTCAGAACGTTGAATGAATATGAATATCGATAACAGATAAGGGGCGTCGAGTTAAGCCTGGCAAGCGATAAAAGCTAATAATGATATCGTGTCATGAAGTTCATCAAAGTAGACGACTATAATACATGGCTTATATCAAACTCGACAAAATTAACCGAACCGGACAAAATCAAATGTAACCGTCGAGACAAGTTTTGGAACTGGTCCAATTAATGTAAGAGTTTAAGTAATGTAGTGTGCTGGAGTTTTGCCAGCGCCTGCAATTAGACCGATACGTAGATCGAGTGTATTTATAGTTCTTACGTTAAGCCATAGGTCACGTGACATTTTTTACCAATGCGCGTCGTAGTAGTTAGTCACGTGATACACGTCATCAAAACACGTGACAGTACGCGGTTGAAATTCTCATGGAATATCAAAACAAAACAAATCTTGTTGAGCCAAATTAGCGGGGCGGGATTATAAAAGCTGTGCCGGGGTTATTTATTCAGCGGGAAAAAACTAACAGCGGGAGCCGGGATTATCAGAATCTATTTAGCGGGAGCCGGGATTATCAGAATCTTATTCTATCCCGGAGGGGTTTATAAGGTCTGAACACCGAGTATTACACCTCATCACTCCCGTCCTGAACCGCTTTCTATTTTTATTTAAATCGTTATAGAAATTAACCCTTGTTAACTCCGCACAACACCCGCATATTATATTTGAAAACACGCATAACATTGTCGTATGAACTCTCTCTCTCTCTCTCTCTCTCTCTGCAGTCCAAACAGACCCCAAACACTAACAGTCCTCCCTCCCCTAATAAGCTTAAGGTATAAAATTACAGCAAATCTTCCGGGCTAATCCAATTATGACGCTACTTAAATGCAGCTATAACATATTACACAGTAATGAGAGAGAGAGAGAGCAAGCCCCGTAACTCTTGCCGTTCTGCTCAAGCAATTTTATGTAACATTTGTGGTACAAAACCATCAATTAAACCACTTACCACCGGCCGATTTAAAAAAAAATTTCCTATGGTCTTCATCAGAGTTTTGTCGGCACTATACCAAAAAACCAGTCCCGTAACTATTACCGTTTTTTTTGTATAACCGTTCGGAAATTACACACAGACAGACAGACAGACACACAGACACACACACATTCTGGTGTTATTAAGTTGATTAAATTTATTTTGCTCGAGATCAATGATTTGAAGAACCGACAAAGATTTCCGATCTTCTTTTGCAGAAACTTTATTGCTGTACGGCAGTGTTAAACAAGGAACTGAAACCGAGGGGTTCCGTTCAGGCCCTTCACACTTTGTTTCTGTCTAGTTCTAATGTACCGTCACAATAGTGACTTTAAATATATAATTACATTGCAAATTACATCTATTCCTC